TTGTTCAAAGACCTTGCTCAGTTACGATGGGTTGCCCTGCTGGAAACGCGGAACAGTGTCAGTGAGAAAGAGGAATTGTTTTTCTCCATTCTCCACAGCGCAATAGACCGATATTTCCCCTGTAAACTCGTATCATCTTACAAGTCCCCTCGACTACCGAGACATTCACAAAAATTCACAAAACATGGAGCACAGAGAATGTTCTGAGGCTAGGCGCTCTGGCGATTGTCCAAATATTAAGAGTTCACGGGGACGTTCTTGGTTCATCTCTAAAGATATCACAGCAACTTCAAGAAGTGGATCGTCGAGTCTCAGAACAGTAACAGCTTCTACAAGTACTCGAGCGCCAGAATTCAAGAAAGGAGGTGTGTTGGTTGTGTGAAGTTTGTAACTCAGTCCCGTTCACTGAACTCGATGAAGCAAATATGTTAGCCGAACATTTCGTGAAAACTTTCATGAAAGACGATGACACAGCTCCTGTAGTACCCAATTCATCTGCGGAGCCTGCTCACTCAATGGGAGACGTTCGTGGGCTTCTTCTGTTACTAACGATGTTATCCCAGTATCCTTCATTAAGAAAGTCTCGCATACATTTCCAACCAATCACTTATGAGGGGGAAAATCCCTAGAAGGTGGAAGCACTCTTTCATAACGCCTATTCTGAAAAAGGAATCATCATCAGATCCCGGTAATCCTGTGAGCATTACCTCTTTATCTGTAGACTGTTTTAAGCCTCTTGAGAAGCATGTCATTGAATATATTTTTGAATGTAATTAGGACCGAACAACCAGCATGGCTTCACTCCGAGACGTTGGTATACCGTTGAAACCAACATGATTAAATGCCTTGATGATGGTCTGAGACCTTCGATAATGACGGATGTTGCGATGTTATCTATTTAAATTTGCCAAGGCTTTTGACAGGATATCACACGAAAGCTAATCCGCAAGTTGAAAGAATTGAAATTTCATCCTGTATTGTCAGTAGGATTACCGATTTGTCGACCACGCGGTATTTTCTTTGATGGGACTCATCGACTGTTATCACATTCAAAAGTGTGCTGATTTGAACGGTGCTTATTTGGATTAAGTCCGATGAGCATTGAGAAAGTTATGACGTATAAAATGAAACACCCAAAACGCTGAGAAATTACCGGACAACCTAATAAATGGACATGACTATAACATATGCTATACGAACATCTGTTTTTTATGTGTCCGAGTGCGACTGTCGATAAATCTTGGCATGGTCCTCAGTACAGACAGTATATTGATTTAGCTCCAACCAAGATTGTTATGAAAACTTTATTCGGCTGACGTTTCGAACGTCGAGTCAGCTTCTTCAGAGCCTGGAAAGTCGGAAGACATTTTCGGTACTACTCATCCAACACTATTTCATCCTACAGAAAAAGTTCAAAAGGGGTCCTAAACTACTGTGATGACGTCACGAGAACAATATGGACTAACCTTTGGGGAGTTGACCAATGAGGTCCACCTGTTACCCGATCTACTGGTAAAGCGGCTTAAATAAGTAGGCCTCCAGGTCACTTTCCTGAGGGACCTCCCGAGGGTCGATCGTCGATGTAGATCAAACTCCTCCAAAGGTCGCTCCAGGCCACCCGCACTGCAAAACCCGTCTACCCTCATACTATTGATTACTGTGCCAACCCCCCGACCCCGCCGCAACGTACCACGGGTGATCGACCTTGTGGATCAAAACCCACACAGACTCGCGAAGGGCGCCAGCTCCATGGTAACCGCCACACACTCTTCCCTCCTATTGATCTTAGGGTTCTTGCCCATGATCCAGAAGGCCTCGAAGGTTCTCCGCGCCGCGATATCGGATTCACGTGACAATATCGTGACAGCCACCTCAAAGCACATGTCGTCATGACACCGTACCCTATGCTGTCCTAGAAGAGTAGCAACTTTGGACTTTTTCATGCCATCCAAGTGTTCCTTAACGCGAATACAAAGAGGCCTGCTCGTCTCACCGAAATACTCCTCTTTGCAAAGACAGCATGTGATCAGACACTACCCCGATGTCATGCAGTCCCCTTGCTTTCCGAACGGACATATGATGCAGGAAGGAGTTGTACAAAGGCGGTCATAAAGACGATTACGAACCTTGAACTAGTTGTCCTTTTAGGTTTGTAGGTGGAATATCTGCAACCCTGACCACATCTTGAAGACCAGCCTTCCTTACACAAGAACGTATGGCAGCACTTATGTCGTCTGATATAAATGGAACCCAGAATGGGACTTTTCCTCGTTCCTCTTCGTGACCAACAAGTGCAGCCCTCCTTGCTCTGCCTCCGGTAGGGACTTTTGACAATGTGTAGCCATTTTCTCGTGCTATGCAAACCGCCCGCTCCACATCGGCCTTATCTTCGCTTCCTGATGAAACACTTGAAGCTGTGTGTAGCATATTTCTGATGATGGCTTTCTTAGTGCTGGAAGGGTGAGCAGAAGTGTAATGAACAAGGATGTTTTTGCTAGTGGGCTTGCGAAACCACCTTGTTCTGAAGGTGCCGGCAGTAATCTGGACTTGAATGTTGAGAAAGGCGAGCCAGTCGTCTGCCGGTATCTCCCTCGTAAGCTTTATATGTTCCGACTGCTGGTTCAAGAGTTCGGAACATGTGTCCATCTCCATTTGAGAGGAGCACACCATGAAGCAGTCGTTTATATACCGACAGTACAAAACTGGTCTGCGCTCCAGAACCGGCTTCTCAATTTTCGACATAAAAGTTACTGCAAACACTGGGGCAAGCCTTTATCCCATTAGCCCCCTAGTCTGTTTGTAGTACTCGCCCGACCACTTGAATATGTTACACATGAGACATTCCTTAAGAAGCGTCATGGCCTGGGATATTTTAAGGCCGAAAAAGTTGATAGAGCGGAGTTGTTCACTGGGAAGCTCGAAAACGGCTGCATAGCACAATCGTTAGACACATTTGTGTACAATGAGGTGACGTCGAAGGACTCCATCACCTTGTATCCCTCCACTCTAGTGTCCCGAAGTTTCTGTAGAAGCGCGTGAGTGTAGGGAAGATGTGCAGGAAGGTGTTTTAGAAGCTGCACAAATATTAAATTCAGAAACCATGAGAGTCTATCTGTGGGACCACCAACGTTGCTTACGATTGGTCTGACTTTGAACTGAGATGGGTCCTCCACAGATGCACCGCCTGGGGGAATTTTGTGAGTCTTAATGAGCACGTGGAGAACTGGACACACAGACAGGTCACATTTGAGACGCGTAATGATGTTCCTAGGAAGACTGGCCGTGTGTGCCAGCTCAGTCCACACTCTATTTAACCGGCGGTACTGCTTGATGAACTCTTCATGAGTAGAGGGACAATAAACGCGATGAAGTGACCTGGAGGCCTACCTATTTGAGCTGCTTTACCAGTAGATCGGGGTAACAGGTGGACCTCATTGGTCGACTCCCTAAAGGTTAGTTCTTATTGTTCTCGTGACGTCATCACAGAAGTTTACGACCCCTTTTGAACTTTTTCTGTAGGTTGAAATAGTGTTGGATGGGTAGTATCGAAAATGTCCTCTGACTTTCCAGGCTCTGAAGAAGGCGACGACGCCGAAACGTCACCGAATAAAGTTTTCATAACAATCTTGGTTGGAGCTAAATCAATATACTGTCACTCTGTTTTTTTATGTTTGAGGCTTCACAACTAATTGGATCTCGGAATATCACCTCTGAAATTCTTGTCGAAAGTCGAGCTGTGAGCGCTAATCAGTGTCCTGAATACGGCACTCATTGCTGACATTGGTAAAATTCATCGCGGTGTGGCTTTTCAACTTCCTCCCACGTGATTAGTGACCTGATCTTCCACACAGAGGCTTCCCACTTTCCTCCCGCTGTTTTTGGCGCAGAATGTCGTAGAAGATATACCAAAATCCTGATAACAACACCACGCCTCCTTTCATCCACTTTGATACTGTACTCTGCCGCAAGTTTCTTACACGGTTCTGTTGGCTTCGAGTGATTTAGAAGGGAAGTTGAGAACACTGGGTTGAGCAAAACTTTCTGCGGCACAATGAATTCCTCTTAACTATTTTTTGTATTTTGAAATGTCCCCATTCGATGATGTAACCCCCATTGCCATCGGTCGGCTTATCACGAATGTCGTTGCCATCAATACCTGGCTAATACCTTTTGTAGTGATTTTTTTCTTTGATCCCGTGAACATCGTGTAGCGATCAAAAACTGCGCAGCAGTCAACAGTATTGGGACTCCTCCACATGAGTTTTTGAAAACCTTGGTCATACTGTCGACTGGGCTCGAAATTTGTCGCCAGAGGTACATTAATCCTTGAATGCGGCTATAGCCTCTATTTTGGCCGAGAAAGCTCACGCACGGTGCCCACACACCGGACTTTCTGATAACGAAGATTCCAGCGAATTTGCATCAAAGGCAGTTCCCGCGTCCAAATGTCATAGATAGTTGTTGCTTGAACCATTGGTTGATAAGTAATTCCCGAAAGAAGAAAAAAAGCAAGGAGAATCTTCAAAAAATCTGCTTACGAATTCGGGATCACGGTAATGTGCACCTTTTACTGCAGTCGAGCTTTTGCAGCCAAAAATTGCATCACTGGTGCATTTAACGCGTTTTACCTCGTGAGTTGGGTTGCAGCTGACTGTGCTGTTAATGAATAAATTGTAACAAAGGAGAGCAGAATTACCTCGTAGTCGCGAATGTGGGTCACTTAGCTGGGGGGGGGGGCTGGACTTCTTGCACAAGGGAGGACGACCACGAATTACTTGAGCGTGGGTGCCTCTTTAAGCTCTCACAACTAGCTCGTGAGACTCGATAGCTTTTCTTTTTGCACCCAGAACCAGCCTTGCAGGCTCTATAGGTCTTCACCATCTTCATTTAGAACGTTACTTCTAATGGAGACATAGGAATGGTAGTCTATGTCTCCATTAAAAGTCACGTGCTTAATGAAGGTTCCTTTGTCGGATCCGAGAATACCCTTAAATATAGGGATGTCACGGGAACAAGTGAGCGCAGCCATTCCCTTCGAGTAGACTAGACAGGTATAGAGCTGCTCGGGGCCCATATGGGTCTACGCCGAAAAAGAAAGCTCCGGGAACCTACTCTGGTAACTAAACCGATCAGCTAATACAGTTTTTTCATTGCAACCTTTGCTGCCGTTAACGTTGCTTCTAAAGTTTTCACTTCCATGATGCGATACGGAATTGGTTCAGGTTTCAATCGCTGATTGAGAGGGAATGGATTTGTGCTGGGCATCCTTTTCAACTACGGAACGCGCACTTGACGTATGCTGAGGGTGCCATTACAGATTCTCAAGCGAGTCCTGTTTTCCTGTGTTTTCTTGATGCCGTGTATCAGGTAAGCCATCTGGGTTTTTGTTTCAGAGGAAAACTTTTTTGTTTCCCAAGGAACTGAAGTAATAACGATGTAGGTAGTATTGAACACCGCTATCAATAAGAATACTTCTGACCAGTCTACTCATCATTTTGTAGTTATTTGTGGTTGAGTATTTGTAAAATTTGGATTGGTTTCTTTAAATTCATTAGGGTGATGGTTTTGTTCCCTGTAGAGCCGCTCCAAAGTCAGCGCAGAAAACCATAGCTATGATGATCATGTACTCGGACCTACGTGACTCTCATAGAATAATTCGGGCGACTTCTCATGTGCACTGATACCACATTGACGCCTTTGAGTTTTAAGTTAGAATACAAACCACTAATGTATCGTTAGGGCCATGGTGCTTTTCCACTGTGAATGATGTTTTATATAGAGAACATTGCCGCTGCAGCCACAGAATCAGTTCTGCGTTCGTGTTTTGCTTTTGCAAGAGAATGATGTACCCAAACGCACCCCTCTTGACCATCCTCAATATTTCAGACATAGCTCGTCAACAGTTGCAGCAGAGATGTCAGTCTCGCGCGGGAGCTCGACATGACGCGAAACGACACAAAAACAGTCCGGCCTCTGTGATCGGATCTTAAACGCTAGACCTCATCCACGCGCTTTTCTTGTGCACGATGAACTATCGGGTCTTCCTCGGCCACTGCTTTTTCAGTTCCCATCTTCCGACTTCTGAACAACATATTCCACATTCTTACGGAACACCATTACACGCAACTACTGGTCTTGCACAGGATGAATTTGAGCAGCGCACTCTTTTTATGGGGCCCAATTTCATAATTTGGTGATTCTGATTTTGACCGCTCGGGTTTTTTTTTGATTTCCCGGGATTTTCTTCTGCGACTGGGATGGCCGAATTCCACATACGTAGCTAAAGGCACTAATTTCTGGACGAGTTAGTAGTTCGCAGCCCCAGCTATTCTGCCGTGCCATTCCTCTATGTGCCTCCAGTTTTTGATGAGATGAGCCAATACGACCATAATAATACATCAGTATGAGTGAAAATTCATGGACTTCCTAGAAACTGGCAAAGCTTTCTCAGCAGCCTAATGAAAATTGTCTGGTTTCTTTCTTTACCATATTGGTGAGGTGAGATGAGTTTCATACTACTGATTAGTTGACTTGATTCATCACTTCGTTTAAAATCCGAGTCCTTGCTTTGGCGACAATCCTGAGTCCATCACGCGGAGGGTTGCGAGCAACAATATTTTCAGTATATGCATCAACTTTCATTTACTCTTTCTGTGAGCATTTTTTCCAGATCACTGCTCAGTATCCACATTCTTTCGAATTCGGGGAGGAATTTTTGGTATTTCTGTTTGAGCACGCCTATGCGAGTGAATTTGGTTCGTTTATAGGTAACAGTGAAAAGGTGAGGCATGTTAATGGATTAGTATTCAGAATGTTTTCTCCGTGTATACCATACCAAATTTAAATGTTTAGATGAAGGCGGAACTCGGTGTTAAGAGTTCTACAGTTTCTCTGTGGTCTTATGTCAACAATCCTGAAATACTTCGCTGTTTTGTTAACACCTCATATGAACCAAGAGCATCTGTGCTTTGGCCGTCGGTTGCCCCACAGAGCATAGTGAGTAGCATACACCGTTCTTAGCCTCATCTGTTACTTGGTTCCTGCCACCTAAACCTTCAGCATGTGTGGCAAAGGTTGTTCTTCCGATGGCAGATTGATTGGGCACAACAAGATCAGATAAGGAAGTCTTCTTCGCAATGGCGAATCAAGGAGCGTGAACTGATCTCTCGGGCGTTGTCTCTAAGGAGGTGAATACAGTCACTCGAAGGTATTCAGCGATACACTTTCTAAGCCCAACTGTTTTCTAGTGGAAAAATTGCTTGGATTTTGAAATGTTGGGTACTCAAACACTGTGAACTATATCACATTATTTGACTGTAGAACGAGCGAACAAATGAATCTCGTAATTGCTTTGTGAATTTTACTCAGCTTGCAAAATGGTCAGATATCAAGGTTACATTGTCCGTACTTCCTGCATTTACAAGCATTTTTGTATTTGCTTATTTCCTGGGCTGCTGCTCGTAGCTTATTATTATGTTGGCGGTCGAACTCTATCATTTTTTGAACTTAAAATATTTCTGAGGAAATGTGATTTATAATGTGTAAACAATATGTAATGTTAGCAACACTCTCTTGTCTCCTACTTCTTTTGTTTTTGCAATATGGACAAGGAGTTTCGTCCCGTCCCGTCTCCCTCAAATTTTTTCTTCCACGACTCTTTCTCGAGCGTGAGAACTGCCGAGGTCAAAATAACGCAGCTGCATAAGAACGATGGTCCCAATTACCGGACAATCTTCATCGACGACAACGCTTGGTTGTGGGAGGCTACAGTCTTCAAGATGAAGTGAGGCCTTGATATCTATCTGAACTCGGCTTGAGGGAGCTGCTGCTCGTGAAGCAGAAAGCAGCTGCGAGAACCGAGGCAAATAGTCAATCAGAGGTGGGAAACTTCGTCCACACCGTCTTCTTTCAAAATGACTCTACCACACTGCACTTAGTAAAGAAGGTGAAGCAGAGCATGGGCCTACGATCCGGCCACAGGCCAAAAGCAAGCTGAAATCCTACTTTCTGTGGCGCTCGCCTAGATTTCGCGGAGATTATTTATAAGGTGTCCATTTAATAGGGAGGATCCTCCGTTAACAATAGCAATGGCAAATACATCTGATCGTTTTCGCATTAGTAGGTGATGTGGCAATGGCTGTGATGCGAGCGATATGGTACATAACCGAGAGATCAAATGCGACGTTACACGGAGCGGTTTATTGCAGTGGGGACCGTTCCTGTATCGCGATAGGAATCCATTGTTGGCTAGTGACGCACAGAACTTTCATAGAACATTATTCGCTTGGTCAATCGCTGGATATGGAAAACTCGCGTAGCGAGAGTGATTTTAAGCCATTGCGTACCGCGGCGTTTTTCCGCTGGCTGCCGCGTGCGCCCAAGCCATATTTGGCAACCTCGCCGGCGTGCTGCACGTGGTGCAGCACGCGGCCACGCAGAGGGATATGTCTCGCGCCCGCAGCGAAGTATAAACTCAACGTACGTCATTTTTGCTTCTCCAGGCTATTGTTTTGGGAAACTACACCTAATGTATGGTAGCCGTTCCAGATAGGCAATGATATACGCGCTGAATAGATCGTTTGATGAACTTTTGATTGAAAGTGACGACGAAGTGATGGAACAGGGCCGTGATACCCCAGAAGATGTAGTTGTCCGCGTGAATCATTCAAGTGATGAGTCCGATCGTGAACAAGCGACGGAGGCTCGGATACAAACGATAGAGGGACTCAATGGACCCCAAATATCAGCAGGCAGAACAATTTTGACTTTCACGGTTTCGGTGGTGCACTGGACGAAGATGCTCTATCTGAACAGTACCCATTTCACAGACGATCTCGTTGATTTGATTGTAAGAGAAGCCAATCGTTATGCTATCGCAAAGTACTCAAATTGGATTAATCTCCACGAGGGCGAACTACTGAACTATTTAGCGATTGTTTCCAAATAGGACTCGAAATCAGGTCAAACCTCAAATATTAGAAAGAGAAAGAAAGGTCGTCAAGAAAGTTGTTTGGTGAGTCGTTAGCTGCAAAGCTCATGAGTAGAAATCCATTCATACAGATTTAACTCTTTGCATTTCGCCGACAATGACAGTGTCGACAAGAGCAACAGGCTGCACAAAATTCAACCTATTCTGGACATACTGAATGAAGAGTTTGCAGCTGTATACCACTCGGGCAAAGATGTGTGCATTGATGAAAGCATGATGCCATTTCGAGGCCGTGTAATTTTTCGTCAGTACATTCGAGGGAAGCGTCACAAGTTCGGCATCAAACTCTATAAATTGTGCTTTGCTGGTGGGTACACCTACAAGTTCATAGTCTTTGCCGGAAAGCGGCAGAGAAGGAGCTGCCCAGCTTCACAACAAGTTGTTCTGGATTTGATGGCGCCATACCTAAATGAAGGAAGGGTTCTTACGGCTGATAACTTTTACACCTCTTTACCTTCAGCGGAGTCGTTGCTCGCTCAAAATATTCAGTACGTCGGAACGTTGCGAAAAAACCGAGCTGGGATACCAGAAGACGTCAAGAAAGCTAAGCTCAAAAATGGAGACATCGTGGGAAGGCAAAATCGGAAAGGAGTAACTGCGCTGAAATGGAAAAGCAAGAGAGAAATCTACACATTATCGACGTATCACGATGATACCAGGGGGGGGGGCACTCGAACGAGCCTGTGGCCGTCGAGCATTGCAATCAAGCGTTAGGCTCAGTAGACCTATCTGATCAGATGTGTTCATATACCCCGTTTGTCCGAAAAACGACCAAGTGGTATTTGCACCTCTTTTTCCATCTGATCACCCTAACTAGTATTGTGTCAATGCGTGGCATGTCTATACTGAAGTGAAAGCAAAAATTTCGATAAAGGAGTTCAAGTGCAGCATTATGAAGTCCATTTCGGAAGGATACAACACACTAGCGAGCGCTTCGAGACCGAAGCTGTACGAAGTGGGTGGACCAAAGAAGAGCTCAGGGAGGAGATGCGTCTCATGCTACAGGAACCTTTCCCGGGCGAATGGTGCTCCGTACACTCGAAACCACACAATACTAGTGAACAAGATGCACAACCTGCGATCAATATTTCTGCATTAAGTGTTTCCACACATATCATCAGCGGTGCCCTGTTTAATCCTTTACGAGTGCTTATAAACGTTGAAAATAAATGAAGAAGATCACAACTGAAGTATTTCATGAAAGAGGTCAATAACCCAAGTGCTCCTTCGATGCGATCGAGGTCCCACGTACGTATGTTGTTTTCCGTGGTCGAAAACATATGCTCGCAACTTTTAGCCCAAAAGGATGCAAAGTAATCCGGAAGAATCATCGTGCTGCAGCATGTGCAGCAGCCATACCGCGACGAAGAAGCGTGCTGCACATGGTGCAGCACGCGGTACGCAATGCGTTGAATGTCGCTAGGTCATCACCTGTATCACCTGTGCTCTCGTTGATCGTCGAGTTGCTCGAGCGGGTTACCGGCTCAACTGTTCTTCGAGACATTAGCAAATGCGGCTGCAGTGAGGGTCTCTGATCTACGGCGTCGGCTTCGGCGGAGTGTGGAGCTTCGGATTCCCACTTCCTCGCTTGCGAAATCCGAGCATCGCCTTTCTGATGTCGCTGAATGACGCTAACCACATGCTCATCCTGCTTTCGTTGAGTCCCAGTTTGCGAGGCGTACGTTAAAGCGAGAAGGACTGCGAAATCGAAGTTGTGAGCACGGAGCCAAATGTTCCTCGCCTTCTTGGCCACACGCTCGATGTTCTCGAAAGCTTCCCAAGCCGCTCTGTTCCTTCTGCTCAGCTCTGGTGCTGATTCGTTTACCATAGAGCATTAAAGACAGCCCCCGCGATCAAAGTGGCTCCTGGTCGCCTTGCTGTTCAAGTAAGTGTAGCCTCCAAGCTAGAAGACTGTCCACCTTTCGCGACTCTATTGCTGAGCGTGGAGGCTGCTATAGCGCTCAAAGTGCTAGTTCTAACTTCCTCCTCAGTCGGATCGCCTCTACTTGCTAGATGTCTCCGACGGAGGCCGCTCACTGTTCTTAGTTGGGCGCGCGGCATTGCTAATGCCCCTGATAATTCTGCTCTCCTCATTACAGTTTAACCATTGGAGGTAATATACATTCAATTCAACCCATTTCGCGAGGTGAAACGCGTAAAAAATACGAGTGACGAATTTTTCGTGATGCAAAACCACGACGCACAAAAGGTTCGCTAACCGTAATCACAAATTGCAGACACCGTGTTGACAAAAATTCCTTTTTCCCTCCAGCATTTTTTCCTCTGCGTTTTCGTTGTGTTTCTTTTTGTATTTCTTTCTGTGGCACTGGATGATATTCAACTACTGCGAGGTGTGATAGAGAGATTTGTGGGCTAGGGGCTGCACAGAGACCGCAGGGAGGTGTAACTGTGAGGGAGCGATTTTGTTTATGTTGTTCTGGAGAACGCTTTTTGCCTGTTTTCTTCTTTGGGAGATTACTTATCAGCTGCTGTTTCATAATTGGAAAGCAGCTATCCATGAGCTTTTATCGCGGGAGCTGTCTTTAAGAGATGTTCTTACCGTTGAGCGAGAATGGGCCATCAGGAACCACTCCGTTCTTCATGAACATCGTCTCCGCTAGATTCAGCTGCAAACGATTTTTCCACGTGCACAGCCGAAACCAGCCGGCATTCGCTCCGTTTGCTCGATGTTTGGTGTTATAAGAACGATGTCGTCAGCAAAGCGGGGGTGGCATCATCAGATCTTCAGTGTGAGCTTGCGAAGCAAGCGTCCGTGCGTTGGAGGTACAGAGCGTCATCCTAGTCCTGGGCGACTGAATTCTCCGTTGCCTCTAGATTCTAGCAGCCTCGCCAGAACGGTCCCCACCTACACCAACCTGTCGATGATTCCATCAGCTTTAGGGGAGAAAGGCCCATATCCATCACTGTTTCCGGCATATCATTCTCGATCATCCTCACGCCACGTTAAGACTGCGGATAGAATTTGTCAGTGCCACGCAAAAATTCTATTTCAGATTAGCCATTCTTTTCATGAAAAGGAAAAGGAAATGTTAAGCTCAAAGGACGCTACAAAGAATGACTCTAAGTCAGGTGAACCAGTTCGCCAGTGAAATGAGAAAACCATTGTAAAAGAAAGTATTCGGTCTACACCCCCCCCCCCTTGCTTCTTCCCGCTTCCCTGTGTTGAGACGTATTCTCGTCC